GGGAGGGCAGGGCACGGGGTGGGGGAGGCTCAGCCGAGGACCCTGGGGCCCCGGGTGACCCCCCATCCGGGCTGGGGCCTGAAGGGTCCTCCCCGTGGGAGGCAGGTGGGCGTCCTGGGTGCGGAAGAACCGGGTCTGCCCTGCTCACCTGTCAGGTCTTGGATGCCAGCCCCCGAGCCCCCAGCCGGCCTGGGCTAGTGTTCCCCGAGGGCAAGAGTTGAGTGGATGAGCGCCTGACCCTGCTCTCTCTCTCTCCTCAGAGCTTACCTTCCAGCAGCCCTACGACCAGGCCCACCTGCTGGCAGCCATCCCGCCCCCGGAGGTCCTCAACCCCTCGGCCTCCCTGCCCACGCTCATCTGGGACTCTGTCCTGGCGCCTCTGGCCCAACCCCTCTGCTGGGCCTCGCTGCAGCCCCAGGAGAGCCCCAAGGCGGCGGAGCTGACCTCCCTGTCCGACGAGGACAGTGGGAAAGGCTCCCAGCCCCCCAGCCCACCCTCACCAGCTCCTTCATCCTTCTCCTCTGCCTCGACCTCTTCCCTGGAGGCCGAGGCCTACGCTGCTTTCCCAGGCTTGGGCCAATTGCCCAAGCAGCTGGCTCGGCTCTCCGCAGCCAAGGACCTCCAGTCTCGGAAGGCCTTCAACTGCAAGTACTGCAACAAGGAATACCTCAGCCTGGGCGCCCTCAAGATGCACATCCGGAGCCACACGCTGCCCTGCGTGTGCGACACCTGTGGGAAGGCCTTCTCCCGGCCCTGGCTGCTGCAGGGCCACGTCCGCACCCACACCGGTGAGTGTCCCTTCCCCTGTCCTCTGCCCGCTGCGCAGCGTTTGCGATTCTGGATATAATGCTCTTCTCTTCTGGAGTTGTGGACCCGAAGGCTCCGAGTCCCCTCCTAGGTCAAGTTCAGGTGCCGGTCCTCTGGGAATGTGTGCCGAGCATTCCTTCCTCTAAGCAGATGGCAGGTACCTCTGCCGGCCCCACAGTTCCCCAGCCAAATGCTTCGGAGCCTGGCTGGGAAAGGTGCAACCCGCACCTTGCTGTTCTGACCAGATGTGAGGAGCCCCAGCTGGCTCCACCTCGCCCAGCGCCCCCACCCCAGCCGCGCTGGTGTCAGACTCCCCCACCCCGAGGCTGCTTTGAGAGCTTCGTCAGACCTGCGCTGGTGTTTCATCCCTGAGCCTGTTTTCCTGTCTCTACGGTGTGAGGAAGCCCCGCTTCTGGGCAGGTTAAATGCAAGATTGCATGAAGGAAGCACCCGGCAAAGTACTGAGTGTAGCTAGCGGGCGTGGTGGCGCACACCTGTAATCCCAGCACTCAGGAGGCAGAGGCAGGAGGACCGCTGTGAGTTTGAAGCCAGCTTGAAATTTATAGCTAGAACTTGTCTCAAAAAACCAACTAAATCAAATCAAAAACAAAGTGCTGGGCCGGGGTTTTCGCTCAGCGGTTCCGCTGCCTGCCTGGCAAGTGTAAAGACCCGAGTTCGATCTCCGGTACCAAAAAAAAAAAAAACCAAAGTGCTTGGTACACGGTAAACTCCCAGGGAAATGGTAGGAGGTAGTTGTATGCTTCTATGCTGTGTGACTTCTGTGCTGTGCTTCTCTGAGCCTCTGAGGGGATTGTGGTAGTGCATGTTACAGGGTGGGTGTGAAAAGTCTGAATCCCTCTATGACAATTTCTTGTAGCCCCGTGGTTCTGAGCTGCTTTCCCCACCCCCACCCAATTCTGCCAAGCAGACCCGGGAACAACTTTGCTGGCAGGAAGTGGCCTTGTCTAGGGGTTTCAAAAATGTAATGCAGAACGTGCTCAGGGTTTCATGGACATGAGAGAGCAGGGGGGCGGGCTGCCCCGTGGGAGAGAGATCGCTGAAGAGGGACGGAGGGAGAAGGCTCAAGGGTCACGACTGTCGGCCGGGGTCGGGCGGGCCAGGTTGGCCCTGAGACCCGCCCTTCCGGTCCCAGGGGCTGGCCTGGAGCAGCGAGGGCCTGTGAGGTGGGGGGACTGGCGTTTTGCAGACCGGCGGCATCCTCACTCTTGGCTAAGGCTGCCCACTTTTCTTTGTGCCCGGTGGCCCTGGAAGTGTAAGGTCCAACTGCCTGGCTTTCTCTGTTCTGCCCCCAGCTCCTGGAGGCTCCATTTTGAGGGAGCTGAAACCCTCAGGATGCTCTCCGGGTGGCCCCCAGCCTCTGCCCGCCCCTCCGGACGTCATTTTAATGTAAAGGCATGGCTCAGACACAAAACCCTGTTGAAATGCACCGGCGCTGTCCTCATTGAATCCCATTGTGCACCTTAATGGTGGCCCAGTGGGTGGGGGCGAGGAGGGGCGGAGCAGGTGCATGGGGCAGCGGTGCCCAGCACCTGTTCCGGCCGCAGCTGCTGGGCCACAGTGTGGCAGGCCCCTTTAATCCTGTGGGTATCACATGTACAGTGCTCCCTCAGCGGCCTTTGTCCCCGCCGGCCTGGTGCCGATTTCACACTTGCCAGGAGCACCATAAAGGCGTCTGGGGTGCGAGGGATGGGTGAGGGGGGGCAGGCACCCCCGCCCGTGGCCGCCTCGAAGGTCCCCTTCCCCTTTGTCCACCTTTCTGCCCAGTTGCACCGTGAATGCTGGCTTGGAGGGGTGCTGTCCTCATCCCGCCTCACAGATGGCTCCATCCTCTTCCCCATCTGTGTGCCCGGAGAACTGGGGTGAGGAGCCCTGGGCCCTGGGGATGTCCTTGCCCCAGGCCTGTGGTGCGGCTCCCCCGCAGTGTGGTGGTTTCCTCTTTCGTGCGCCCCCTAGGCCAGGTTTGGGGGGGCTTGGAACATTCCTGTGGAGTGGGAGGCCCGGGCTCTTTGCCACCCAGGCAGCTCAGCCCAGCACTCACAGGTGAGGGAGTTTGTTTCCAGTCCTCGATTCCCACACTGGGGCCTAACAGATGGGTCGTGGCCTATGGCCTAGCAAGCTGGAGTTGGTATTCAGTACTATAGACCTTGGCACATGGTAGGAGCTCCAGTAGGTGTTTAATGAATGACTATTACGACCTGTTTTTGGAAAATGCATATGCCTAAGAAAAAAGCAAAACAACATCATCACCATTTTGGGGAACTGTATCCTCTTGATTGGGACAGATACTATGAAGAGGTGTCTGATTAAGGAGTTAGCTTCTCAGGTTTAGCTCGTTTGTGTTTGTTTTTGTTTTGTTTTGCTTTTGGTACTGGGGATCGAACTTGGGACCTTGGCGCTTGTGAGGCAGGCGCAGTGCCACTGATCTACATACCGTGCCGTTTTTTAGTTTTTTGAGATGGGCTCTTGCTATGTAGTTCAGGCTGGCCTCGAACTCACAGCCTCCTACCTCAGCCTCCTGAGTGCTGGGATTACAGGTGTGCACCGCCACACCCAGCTTTTTTTGTTTGTTTTTGTCCTGTTTTTTGAGACAGTCTGGCTAATATAGCCCAGCCTGGCCTCAAACTCCTGATTCTCCTGCCTCAGCCTCCCAAGTGCAGAGACTACAGGCATCCACCACTGCTCCTGATTGAGTCCTTTAAAAAAAAAATTGATTTGTTTAGTCTCCTAGCACTTATTGAGCACTTACTGTATACATCATCCTACATGAAAGACTTCCTAATGTAACATTCATTGACCAGGCAGATGTGTCTGGGCTGCAAGTTTCTGTGGCCTCTTGGGGTCCCCAGGCCTGGGGCTGGGGCTTGGACTGGGCTTGGGGAGGCTCCTGGCGCTGTGCAAGGCAGTCTGGTAGGGACAGACAGATGTGGGATTACAGTGCTGCAGACCTTGTGACCAGGGAAGCAGGCCTTCGGCTGGGCTCAGAGGAGTGGCCTGACCAGCTCTGGGGTGGGGGGCAGGGAGGCCTTAACTTAAGACAGCCTCTTAGGCTTTGTCCCCAGACAAAGTAAATCTGGGACTGACTCCAGGGCTGATAATGAGGAAGGCCAGCCACAGCTCCCTTGACCAGGAGGCCCTGTCTAGTGGTTAAAATCAAGGGCTGGGGAGTCCCGCCAGGTGACCCTGAACGTGCCACTTCATTTCTCTGCCTCCCTCTGCTGTCTCAAATATGGAGACCACAGGGCCAAATGACAGGAGGGCCGCTCAGGGTGCCTCCCATGACCCCCACGTGCTCGGGGAGGGACGCCCGTGAGAAGCTGTTCGGCTCAGAGGCGGCCCTGGGGTGCAGTCTGTGTTCATGTAAACGAGGCCTTCAGGGTTGGGGTGAGCTGGGCTCGCAGGCTGGGAGGTGTGGGCTGGCACTGCAGGAAGCCACTGCCATCCAGGCCTCACTTCCTGCCTTTCTGTCCCCAGGGGAGAAGCCCTTCTCCTGCCCCCACTGCAGCCGCGCCTTCGCAGACCGCTCCAACCTGCGCGCTCACCTGCAGACCCACTCGGACGTGAAGAAGTACCAGTGCAGGATGTGCTCCCGCACCTTCTCCCGAATGTCCCTGCTCCACAAACACCAGGAGTCTGGCTGCTCGGGGGGTCCCCGCTGACCTCGCACCTCTCCGGCCCTCCCCGCAGCCCCACCTCCCGGAGGAGGGAGCCCGTCCTTCCCACCCACCCAGAGTTCCCTCCCGAGCACCCGTGGGCTGTGTCTGTCCCTCAGGACTTTGGGGAAGCCGCTTTCTGGTTCTGTTGTCCGCTCAGGGGCCTGCTGGTACCCTTTGCCTGGAGTCCTTCCTGGCAGCCGTGTGGGGCGTGTTCCTGAGCGGCCCTGTGTGGTTTGTGTATCCAGAGCTGTTGGATACAGCTGCTTTGTGCTCCGGACAAAGGCAGCTGACTGGCTGGGAAGCCCCCGCCCCACTCTGGAACCCACACCCCTACCTCCAACCACCTCCAGGACCCTCGGGCCTCCTTCCTCAAGGTGCGACTAACTATGCAATAATCCACTCCAGGCGGTTTTGGGACGGGAGGACAGACAGGAGGACAGACTGGAGGATGCGTCTAGACCTCCAGATGCCCCTGGCCGGGGCAGCTATTTCAGCCTCCTGTTTGTCACGGCGACACCTGTTTCATGGGCAATTTAACAATGTCTCAAAAGGGACTGTGAGTAATGGCCGTCACTTGTCAGGGGCCAAGTGGGGTGCTTTGGCCTGAGCGATGTGTCTCCCAGAACTATTTTGGGGGCCCGACAGGTGGGCCTGGGAGGAAAATGTTTACATTTTTAAAGGTACACTGGTATTTATATTTCAAGCAACATTTTGTATAAGGGAACTTTTTTTGTATAGCTATATGTACAGTTTATTGATATTCAATAAAGTGTTAATTTATATATTATGAAGTCCATAGTTGGTCTTGTAGTGGGGTAGGTTTTTTGTTTCTCCAGTACTGGGGATTGAACTTGAGGTTTTCACATTGAGCTACATCCCAAGCCTTTTTTTTTTTTTTTTTTTTT